AGGACTCTCCCCTAATGCAATTTTTTTTGAAAAACTACAAACAAAATATTCTTACTAAAAAAAAACTAAGCACCATTTTTTTGGCAAAAACATACATAGGTTGAAGAATACTTATACCTACCGACTACATAAGATACACATTATTTAACGAACAAAGTCAAACAAATAAAAACTAAGAAACTGTTTTTTCAGCGTGTTAACAAAAAATAACTTTTCGTAACAACAAGAACTCAAACTTAAATCTAAGTAAATTTAACGACAAAAGTCACATACGTAATCGTTTTCAGCCCCTGGACAATTTTCATGTGCCCACAGGTTGCACATAATGCAAAAAACGCTCATCACAAAATAGGCAAACGGCGCCTTATCATCACACACAAACCTATTTCATCAACATCCATGTCTTCATCATCCGGTGCAAACTGAGTATTTTAGGGCAAAATTGATAGATGTCGCTACTTGGGCGGCTGAGATATGGAGGGAGCCCATATTAAATGCAGAGCCCATATTCGGACCTTTTCCTCCTTTTCGTGAAAAATTAAAAATATGCAGGAAATTTTACGTATTTTTACATTTCTGCTTTTTCAAAATGCCATTTTGATGATTGACTAATGTTAATTAGTGGATAACTAATGGATCACTCCATTTCCTTCGTTCCTCCGCTCTCTGGATTCGCTCCTGATTCAAAGTTGCATGAACGTTTGAACAAAAAGTTGCGCATTCAAAGATAACACGATTAAATTAACATTTTATATAGGTACTTACATATTTCTAAATTTGAATTTTATTTCACAATCTATAACTTTATCAGACCAAAACAAAGATTCACCATCAGATACCTCATAAATACTCATTCCTGAAAAAACAGATTGTTAAATAAGCTGCTCTTCGTTTTTGGGCCCTCATAAAGAAATTCAAAGTATTTAAAATGTCAAAATTATCCATTTTGCAATATGTCTGGAAGGGAAACTGATCGATCACACTAGTCATTTTTTGCAGCAGTTATCGTCGAAATATTAATTGAAGTACGCATTAAGATCAATAGATGTCACTACGAGGCGCGTGCCATCTGTTGATAAGTACATCGACTAATTTCTCGACTACTTATTCACAGCAGTTTTCAACATGCAGTAAATAAACGACAGTTAACTCGTTCTACCTGGGATTAGAAGTAAAACGATTAATTCCATTTGTCAATTGTCATATATCAGCTGATTCCTGATTGAGCAATGTAAAGTAAATTTTTTGGTTGGAATCTCAATTTTTTTACAAAAGCAAAAATGCGAACAATAAGTTTAATTAAAAATAAATACATTTTCCTAGAAAGTATTATGAAATCAGAAACTAATCATTCATCCATAATAAGACCAAACAATGATCTCTTCAACAGAAAATTATTCATCAGCAAAACGAATTTTCAAAACGTTTGTTGGAAATGTGGAATTGAACAAGGCATTAGTAGTTTATTTTGCGATAAATGCAATGCACTACAACATCCAAAAGAAAAGGAAAATCTGTTTAAAGTATTATCAATGGAAGAGGACTTCAAAATGGATGAGGGGGCTCTAAAGAATAAATTCAGGAAAATGCAGTCACTGATTCATCCTGACAAGTTCAGCAACAGGTGAATAGTATTTTTCTAACGTACTTTGCTTTCGATATAGGTAGGACTTTGATTTTAAGAAAATCCATTTTTTTTTGTTTTCAGGAGCTCTGCAGAACAGTCAATCTCTGAAGAATATTCATCATTGATAAATAAAGCTTACAATATATTGCAAACCCCACTGAAGAGGGCAGAACACTTGCTTGAACTAAAAGGTCAAAAACTTGATGAAAATGATAAAATAGATGATCCAGAGTTTCTTATGGAAATGATGTCTTTGAATGAAGAGGTATGAATCAAAATATATAAGACTGCAATATGTGTGGTAGAAAGAGATAGAATCACCTCATTGTCTATCTACCAGAGTGAGGAGGCCAGATGCCATTGGCGCACTCTTTCTATTCCAGCTCACGATGTAATGCTTTCATGTTCTTAAAATTTTTAATCTGTTTTTAACTTGTTCTTATCACACATTTGTGTGTATTTTATATAATTTTAACCATTGTGCCATCTATCCAGCTTTCACCATGTTACTGGGTGTTTCCCTCATCCTGAACGTTAACAACAATTAGCAACATCCTCACATACCACTCTCCTGATGATGATGGCAAAGTCCATTAAAAGCTAGAGAGAATAAAAAAGTATAAAGAGTCCTCTTTGCTTAAATTTTGTCGAAGTACCCAACAAAAGGCGGAAACTTTAATTTTTCACCTATATATATATATATATATATATATATTAATGACCGCTACTTGCAACTAAATAAAATGCACCTATTCTTTGCAGATGATTTGAAAATACTCTGTAAAAAATGTCAATGATTGTATTGCACTACAACAAGATCTCAACATCATATGCAACTGGTGTGAGAACCAGAAACTCGACCTAAATACATATATACAAATGTAAAATCTTTTCTCTTATTATATCAACATTCAAATATAAAGATGTCAATCCTTCAATGATTTAGGGGTAATTTTTAATAGTAGGCTCACATTTACAGAACACATAAGAGAAATGGTTGCAAAGTCAAATAAGGTTTTGGGATATCATCAAGCTTTGATGATGTAAGAAATCTCAAAATAGTATATACCTCTTTTATAAGAACTAAACTAGATGATTTGGTCGCCATTGTATCAAAATGCAACGTCAGCGATAGATTCAACGCAAGAGCTTAAAATAAATGCACTTACAGTTTATGGATTGCCACACAACTCACTACTTAAATCATTCAATTATGACACTTTTGTGTACCGTCGTCATATTAATGAGGTTATAGCCTTGTACAACCTAATAAATAATAAGTTAGACTGCCCAGACTGTTTAAAAGTTATTTTGCAGTACCTGTACACTGTAACTTTTTACAACCCAAATGGAAAGACAAATATCTCAGATATGGCACCTATAAGTAGAATGCGGGCACTTTTAATAAATTTTGTATGGGCTGTGATATTAATTGTGATGATCTTGCTGTAATTTTGGGCAATCTTAGACTTAATTATTCTGTGGTGGGATGTTGAGATGTACATTGCAATGTATTATATTTTGTCTCGATTTTTTTTTGTATTCACTTTATACAACATATTCTACAATGTATGTCTGATGTCTTTGTGATAACACTTTTAATTGTATTGTTCCTGTGATTGGGTATATCCCGTTGGAGTAAAGATGATTATTATTATATACAAGGTATTTCAGAAAAGTTTTAAAAAAAATTGTGCTTTTTTGTGAAGTGGAACACCCTGTATATTTTTAGTGTCTACACATTTTGAATATTCTATTATATTCATGATGGATCCAAAATGAGAAAACATCGATTCCCTGGAAAAAATAAATAATTTATTTCCTTTTCAGGTTGAAGAAGCTGGAGACAACAAGCAACTGTTGAAAAACTTATTTGAGAAGAACAAATGTGTAATAGATCAGCTAGAGAAAGAAATTGAAGATAATTTTAGGTCAAACAGTATTGAGAAGACAAAGAAGAATGTAATAAAATTAAAATATTTCATTAGCATTCATAATAAAATAAATAAGATTCTGAGAGAATTAGGTGTTACAGACTAATTTACAAAAATATATAACTATACAAAAGTGTTTTTATGGAGACTTTGATATTGTTAGAAGATTTAAAAATATATATGTTGCATAAAGTTCTTTTCTTTGATTAATTAGTTTAACCTGTATGATTAAAAATACCCTGTGTATTAAGGGATGGGTAGAACATTGAATGCAAACTATATACAAGAACACATTTAATCAAAAATCTAACATATACAGAATAAAGACAGATTTTGTATACCTTGAAACAAACAATGCTTGAATTTATTATAACTAAAATTACTCTAAAAAAAGCAACTCAAAATGGCAAATTCCAATAAGACCCAATTCTGAAAATAAGCATGCCAGCATATATTTACATCTTTAATTAATTATTTATTAATTCATTGAAAAAATTACACAATTAAATATCAATATTTGGTAAACTCATCATACAAATCAAATACAGGGTATTTCACAACTCATCCGACAAATTTTAACCACATATTACGAAAGAAGTTGATTTCTCAAAAAACAACAACAGTGATTTCTCAAAAAGAACGGTCGATTTTTAAATAAGAAAGTATTTTGCAAGTTTATGTTTTTAGTTATTTTTTAATAAAAATGGCACATGTGTACACTGAGGAATTGGTGGGCATGACAAAATTCGCGAGCTACTTCTCGTTTATATCATCTCGATTTTTGTAACTTTTTTTTTTGGAGAAATCAACTTCTTTTGTAACAGTGCATATGTGATTAAAATTTGTCAGATAAGTTGTGAAATACCCTGTACAAAAAATTAGTTAAACCATAACAAAATAAACTTAATATTATTATTCTTTACTATCATCAGCTACAGGTGCAGCCCATGTTAGCCTCTCTTCATAAAATTTTATGACAATTTGAGGACATTTCACATTGGCCAGCTTAGCTGGAACTAAATCTGCTTCATCAGCATTAACCCATTTCATGAGAAACATTAAATCACCTGAAACAAAATAATTAATTCTCACTTGTTTTTAAATATTCCAGAATTTAAAGTATAGTCATCAAACTGACTAGGTTTTTTCAACATCAATTACCTAGGAAGAACAAGTTGCTTCTCAGTGTAACATTATGGTTAATAATTGTGATTTCTCTTATTAGTTAGAAAAATGTATTTAATATACCTGAGCTGTCAGTAGCTCCAATAATTTTTTCAGGCTGCAATCCCCTGTCAAAGCCATGTATTTTCTTGTCGTCTTTCCCTGTTCTCTTAGGATCATCTGCTTTCCTTTTTTTACTGTTTCGCTCCTTCTCCATTGACCTTTCCATTTTAAATGCTTTAATTAAGCTAGGGCAATCCAGATTTTCTTCAGGCTCCCAAGTATTGTCCTTGTCATCATACCTGGAATAACAAGAAATTTTTTGTAATTGCAGTTCAACATCAGACATCCATTTAAGTAGTTCATTGATGCTTATGTCTCTCCTGGTTCTTTGTGTTTAAATAAAGACATTATTATTATTGTTATATAGATTCTCTAGGCATAATGTCTTTAGTCACAGACCATAAGCATCACCTTGAGCATTGATTAACATATTTTATGCTACCTGAAAATAATTAACCATATTAACATCCAAAAAGGGATCTGAAAGATCCTAGTACCATCTATGAAACAGTAGCAGAACTCTGACATTAATATGAAAATTAATAACTGTGTAATGACTTAAAGTGTTTGGTTCTGCTACTGGAATGCCTATTTTAATTGGGATGTTTAGGCATTGATTCCACATAAAGATACCCAAATGAAATAAACATTAAGAGAAGTGCCAAAAAGAGAATGTGTGTGCTTAGCTACTCGTAGATGGAACTATGAACATTAACCCGTAATTGGTGAGGTTGAGTCTATCAGACTCCAGGAGATATTTTTTTCGCTATAACTACTTTTTGTATCAAGTGATAACAATGTACACCTATTTACCTTTAGTTTGGATATGTGAGTCCTGTTTGCCACAGTGGTTGCAGATATACCTCTTTGTGTGCTTGTGTTTTTATGTCAGGAGTCTCATGGACTCCACCTCACTCTTATCGTAAGTTTTTGTGGTTGATAATTTTACTGTTGGTTTTTACATATATGATATGTTAGAAGGAATTACGTGCCAGTACAATAAAGGGTAAAGACTATGAGAGTACGCTCACAATGGTATAGCAATGAAATTGTGAGTGACCACAACAGCGAGCAGACTCCGGATGATGATGAACAATGTTTGCTAGACGATGATATAACGCAGAAGTCATTTTCAAGTGAAAATAGATAGATCGACTACAGAAAGAACACACTTTTATGGAAAAAAAAACATAAATGGTCCTTTATGGAATCAACAAGAAATGTGCGTACAGTCAGCCATAATATAATTCTTACGCTACTTGGTCTGAAAGTCGAAGCAGCTCTAAATTCAGGACATGAAGCAAATCCAGTTAAAATTTTGAGCACTTTGTTCATTGAAAAAATAATGGCCGTTATCGTAACTTCTACGAACAAAAAATTGGAAAAAATGCGTCAAAAATACAGCGGCCCAACACGAGTAGATATGAAGAAGGCTAACGATAATAATCAAATTTGATGTTTATAATAAAATTTATAACAAACCAAACATAAATACATACTATAAATAGACTCCAGACTATACCATAAAATTGAAATGAAACAGGTACTAATTCGTATTCTAAAAAAATACTCGGGAGTCTGAGAGACTCCACATCACACTCAACGTGATAAAAGTGGCACCTCACCGGTTACAGGTTAAGGTCCCTTTTTGTATGATAGCATCAAGTTTATAGTTGTTTATCCTCAGGTAGAATGATTAATTAATGCCTCAAGACATCAGATTAGGAGCATCAAAGTCTGTCAATGTTTAGGAAGCGATTTCAGCAACATGGTGAAATGTGTGGATGGGTTTTTAAGAGTTAAAAAGACATGAAGGAAATGATTTACCCAATCCATTTCAATAGATACTCTGTAACGCCTTTTTCATTTGTTCTACTATCGATTATTTTTTCAACAACATACTCTTCTTGAGCCTCTTCAGGGTCAGAAGTTGGTTTCTTGTTTTTGCTCATTATCACAACTGAAAATAAACAACATAACCTAAATATTATTGGAATATTTTACCTGTGATTCAAGTGTTACCTGAGGGTTGTTTATTTCTCTAAAGGGGTGCTAGAAGATCGCTTTTTTAGATACTTGAATTTCTTGAGTAGTAAACGGGTGAATTGCTCGATTGTGTTGAATAGTAACTAAGGAAACAAAACGTTCAGGATCCGAGTTGCGCTTAACCTATGTTCGCATAACGAATACTCACTTTATAAATAAATTGCAATCACAAATACTGCAAATTGGAATAGTAAATTATTAACCTCATCAAACATCGAGCCAAACAGTTTTTTTTGCTACGAAGAATACCAACTTTCAGAAAATAAAATTGTCACTAAACAGAAATACCAACATAAAATCACAGCATAGACAAGCCAGCACAAAACATAATATACTGTCAGTCAGTCTAAATCTAAAAGGATATTCCTTAAGCGGCCTACACACCTTGATGATGTATGTGCGATGCATGAATCGACTCAACGTTTCATGAAACTTGCATCAGTTGCACAAGCGCCTACTCAAATCGAAACCTGTTGCGATGCCTTCTTATATTTCTGACTGAATACTCTTTAGCCTTTGTATTCCAAAGACTCATATGTAAATGATAAATGTTTATGAGCTTTTCCCAAAATTCTCGATCACTTTCCATCATGGAATTTACACACACAGACCAACATCAAACGGACCTCAAAATAACGCGGGAAAATAAATATCGTCTTTGGATCGATGCAAGCCGCAACTGATGCCAAATACGAGATTCAGTACTACACATACTGCTACTTGCGTCATGAAACATAAGAGTCGATGCCTGCATGGCAGCCCACCTGAAGGTGTGTAGGCCGCTTTAGTTGTGGCCCTCAGCTATCACATTGACAGTAGTGACAATGTCGGAACAGTGGTCTATTGTTTGTTAGGACAAAGATGGCGATGTTCAAGACTTGTCTATTTTAGTACTTCATCTGTAGTGCTGTAGTGATTTATGGGGTTCCACTTAGGCGATCTGTTCTGTGATCTGATGTATAACTGTCAGTTTGGCGTCTGCGCATGTTTATTAGATTTTTAGCGTGTATATTTGTTTTTTTTATCGCCGGGTCTTTCTAATGAAAAAAATTGCTTAGATACGAAATTAGAACTAAAATCTTACAGTTTCAAACACATCTACAACTTCCCTAATTAGTTTCAGTTGTTTATTGAATGTAGGGTTTCAGTGCATCCTGCAATCAATACGAAGGTCTGTATGTTGTAAAAGTTGCAAAAGACAATGCCCTATAAACGCTTTGTCATTAATAATATATACGGTGCAAATTGTATCATTAGTTTGTATTCATTGCAGTTACTATGAGCAAGAGAAGTAGTCCTGTGCCCCCCACAAAAACTCCAACAGCCATCCCTGCTTCAACGGAACCTGACGAATATTTTGTTGAAAGGATCATAGGTAATTCATAAATAAGCCAACAAGACACCAGATTCTTACTTTTTTTTAAGCTGGGAGACGCAACGCGCATTATCAATGAGATAATAACACAGATAATCAGCTGTGAAACTCTCCTGTCAGTGTTAAAAACGGCAGCCATTTCGGCCGAGAGAATCGTATCTAATTTACATCAATCAAAGATTTTAGTGTTTAGCAGCAGCCGATATTGCCGCGAACCATGCCAGCAGATATACTTTGCAATCTTAAAATGATAATATTTTGATATGATCTAGTGTGGTTTGTGTGAATCAATAATAAAAAGGAGTATGCCCAAAAAGAGGCAACAAACAGTGGTTACCTATTTATTTAAAAAGAATCAAAATAAATTTGTACTGGTGAAAGTAGTAATATTATAACAGAAAAACATTTACTTTTACCATAATCTTTGTTGCTGCGATATTTCTCAATCCATCACATTTTTAACATTATGTAAATGCTGTTAAAAACACCAGGCATATACAACACCCATTGAATTTGTTTTGGAAAGACCAATGGTTTTAACATGCTTAACTTGGTATAAGGTGTAACATAACTTTCATAAGAATATTCAAAAATGGGATCACAATACAGTATTTACTGATAACACTTTATTAGACTTGTAATTGGACCAATAAATATTATTATTATTATCATATAGCTCTGCATGTTATTACACAAAAAAATTATAAGCTTAAGTAACAATATTGGAATATACTCCACAAAATAGGTTTTAGAACATGAAGAAGTAAAGTGAGTTGCTATAAGATATATGCACTTATATATACGTTAAAATTCAAATAACACATTCAATATATATACAGGGTTATCCAAATTAAGTGTCCACCATTGGTAACTTTGTTATTAGTAAAAATACAAAGTTGTTTAAATTAGCAAACTAGTAGCATTTTTAACGCTGGTAAAAATGAGAAATAAAAAAAAACAATTGAGAGTCGTTATTTTGATTTTTTTCAGTAAAATAACATTTTTTTAAATGGAAACCCCTGTATATTATATTTTTTTCTGTTAAAGCATCAAATTTTAAACAAAAAAGTTCATAATGACTTTTCCGCTAAAGTCAAAAATAAAGTCAAAATAACGATAAATATTTTTAATTATTTGCAGTATTATAATATTAAGACGGCTATGAAAACAACATGGCGTTCGCGATTTGACAGCATTAAGATAAGCGAAAAATTGTTAAACTGGACATACTCGCAACTAGAAGGCTTTGGAAAACAATGATAAAATCAAATAATGTCAAACATTAGTGTAAATACTTGTTTATAAGCTTTATTGTGTCAATAATTTAAAGAAAAATGTTCTCCTATGAAGAAAAGTGTGATATGTTAGAATGCTATTTAGTGTGCAGAAAATCCTCCTTGAGAGCAAGAGAAAATACTACAGTGAATTATATCCCGCTCGCATTCAACCGTATGAACGATATTTTCTGAGACTTTATCGAAAATTTAGGGGCCATGAAAATGTTTTTGCTAAAACAAGGGCAAAAAAAGAATTCATAATAAGCGAGGCCACGGAAATTGCAGTTCTTGGATATTTTGAAGCTTATCGTGAGAATTCAATAGCAGATATTCTCAAGGACTCTAATTTCAGTTATGGTACTGTTCAAAGGATTTTAAAAAAATACAAATTTATTCCGTATAAGTACCGACCAGTTCAAACGCTTTTGGCAGGGGATCCAGAGAGAAGACTTGTTTTTTGCCATTGGTATCTTAGCTTCTGTCGCCAAAATGTAAATAGCTTTCGTTACCTTTTATGGACAGATGAATCAAATTTTTCAAATTCTGGAATGTTTAATAGAAAAAACCACCATTATTGGTCAAGAGAAAATCTTTTGTTAGTACATCCAAGAGGCCCACAAGTCCGTTTCAGTTTCAACGTTTGGTGCGGTATAATTGGTTCAAAAATTGTTGGCCCGTTCTTTTATGAGGGAATCCTAACTGGTGAAAGATATGTGGAATTTATGTCAGAAATTCTGACTAATTTCTTAGACGAATTGGATCTTATAAGTAGACATCATCTGCATTTTCAGCAAGATGGCGCACCTGCCCACAACCCCAGAGGTACTTATCATTTTCTAAGTACTACTTTTAATGATCAGTGGATAGGAACAAATGGCCCAATACAGTGGCCTCCCAGATCACCAGATCTAAACCCACTTGATTACTTCTTGTGGGTTTACTTAAAGAACCAAATTTACAAGCGAAGGTACGATAACCTTGACGCGTTAAAGACTGCAGTTAGGGAAAAGATAACCCAGATAGATGGTAGGACCATACTTAAGACAGTTCGAGCAGTTGAAAAACGTGCCCAAAAATGTATTGAAGAACAAGGTGGTGTTTTCGAGCATCTTCTTTAAAAAAATTGTTATTGTATTTTGTAAGATTATAAGTTGATGTTGAAAATAAAGTTTGTCGATACAATTTAATTGTTTCAGATTGGAGGCCATAACTTCAACAATTTGTAACCTAGGAGAAAAGTTATTGTAAGCTTTTTTGTTTAAAATTTGATGCTTTAACAGAAAAAAATATAATATACAGGGGTTTCCATTTAAAAAAATGTTATTTTACTGAAAAAAATCAAAATAACGACTCTCAATTGTTTTTTTTTATTTCTCATTTTTACCAGCGTTAAAAATGCTACTAGTTTGCTAATTCAAACAACTTTGTATTTTCACTAATAACAAAGTTACTAATGGTGGACACTTAATTTGGATAACCCTGTATATACAGGGTGACTTTGAAGTTGAGTCATTAATTTTCAGATAATGATTGTAGAAGGAAGATAAACCAAAATATGTGTAAAAATAAAAAAAAAAATTTACCTTGGTTTATATAGTATCCTCCCGACAAGTATTTCAGTGCGACCTGTATTTGATCGTGAGGTCCCCTGTGAGGTCTTAAGTCACCTGATTCACGAGCCCGTTGTACTACATTAACAAAGGCACGAGGGGTTGGTTGCACTCGATTCTGAAACCGATCCGCATAAACATGTGCCATTTTTTATTTCGTTTGAGCCACGCAACAGATACCACTGACACTGACTGTATACAAATGAATGAAATAATTGTAAAAACATCGTTCCAAATTCTTTCGCTTTTTTGTTTCCGATACGATGAACCGATACGGCGGATTATATCCGTTGTTGCCAAACACGAGCACATGATATTATTATTGAGACAGGGCGGTACTCAAACTTCCAAAGGGCTATAACTTTGTTACTTTAATTTTACCAGAAAAATGGTAAAGGAAAAAAACATTTCTTTTGATCAGATCTACTCACTGTTAAAATAAATGACTCAACTTCGAAGTATAACAAAATCAATGTGTTGAAAACACATTAAAATATAAGAGATCGATTTTTGTTGAGTTTTTGACCATTACTGTAAAATTCTAAAACCTGATAAAAATTCATCTAGAGAGTAAAAAGCTTCAGCCACTAAATAATTGTACAATTTGGTCCTAAATGCAGTGAGACCATCACTATGTCTGTGAGTGTTTATATATGTTTATTGAAATAGGTCACCACCATATAAACAGGACTATTCTGCCCATCAACTGAACTGAAAATGACTGTTGTAGATTGCAATTGTCCCTTGTGTTGTAATCATGAAATGATTGTTTTCTTAGGAAGAGGTGTTCATTTTACTTTACATATATAATAAGAATAAATATATACAGTGAAGGAAGTGTTAGTATGGACACCTTGATAAATAACAGACAGCAGTGTGTTTGATGGTGCGCTCTCCTTTGTATTACATACATAGTATGTTTGTTATACCAAGTGGGTCTTGAAAAATTCAGATTCGGAAATGGTATTCAGAATCCACAATATTAAGTAATGACCAAAAAAAAAGTATTCAGATGAATAAACACACAAAACACACAAGTGTATTCAAATGGTAGTCAAATGCAAGCCAAATGTGTTCTGAATAGGACACAAAATAAAAAGTAAATACTACCCAAGTCAGGCAGGTGAAATTCCATATGCTTGCCACTCGTGGAAATTAAAAAAAATTGATGTATGATAAATTTCATTAAAGTATCTTAAGTATTACTACTACTATTACGGATATTAACTATAAATTATTTTTTAAGACATTACTACCCTGTATCTCAAAAGTTAAGATGCTTAGGACCTACATTCATAAGAAGTTTTCTTCTTAAAGTGAACCCTCAAATCGCTATCTTAAATATTGACATTCAATTAGGAAATATCCTGTATAATTATAGAATTTGAAATTACCGTTCGTTTGCTGTCTCCATAACTGTTCTGGCAAAAGCAGTATTACCCTCATCTAAGGTGCTTTCTTCTCATTCTAAAGCAGTCAGTCTTTCAGAATTGAGAAGTGGTCAGTCAGTATGACCACTCCGTTGTTCCTCGGATCATCAAGAATGTATAACATTCTGTAAATTCTTATTACTTCTTGAAGAATTACCGTGATCCTATATCACAACATCGACTCAATATGAGATGCAAATATGAGGCTCAATGCTTCCGCAAGGACTGCGCTGAGCTAGTATGGCATGGCAAACAAAATCTGTCACAGCATCTACAAAAATGCATTGACAGTACTGACTATATATGTAGAAAAACAGACCACAACTTTATAATAATGTTATAATATTTATAATAATTATTGGACTGCTTTATGTACCTTTTCAATTATTTTTATAGATAGCAGAGTGAATGAAAAGGGCATCAAAGAATACTACATAAAATGGTCTGGGTATGATGAAAAAGACAACTCATGGGAACCAGAGTATAATGTAAATAGCCCCGGACTAATCAAGGCATTTGAGTTGGAGAAAGCACGTAAAGAAAAGGAAGAGAAGAAAACAAAATTAACCACTCAAAATGGACCAGGCAAAGGTGTGAAAAGGAAGTCTGATGATAAAAAACAAATAGGCTTTGACAGAGGATTAGAACCTGAGAAAATCATTGGTGCCACAGACAGCCCTGGTAAGAGTCATACATTATCTGACAAAATTAACTTTGTATTAACATTTCTTAAATAATAATAATAATAATATTTATTCACTCAATGTACAAAGATAACAAACAATATGAGTAAATAAATATAAAATCAAAACAGGCCCAAGAGAAGGCAATCGCCTGTACATGTACCAATAATTAGAGTTGAAACTGTAGAATGCAAATGACAAAAAAGGACAAAAATTAGCTACAGTAGATTATGCATTTAGTTGATGTTCGTATTTATGAGTTTATGAATTTCAGTACTAGATATAGAATGTAGCCACTTTTTAAATTTCTTTTGAAACAATTTCCGAAACGTAAATCTTTAAGTCTTTATGTATAATTTCATAAAATTTAGGCGCTAAATAGAGATATGATCACTGCATTATAGATTTATGCGGTTGAGGAACTACTGTGCCACGAATTTTGTACCTGGCATAATGATTATGTTTAATTTTTTGGTCGGTGTTTACAAATTTATGGTAGTGAGTGATACTGTAAGAAATAAAGCTGTCTTATATCATACATTCGAACAACTGCATATAATTTTTCAGTGGGATAAAGTTTCGGTTTTTTAAATATCATTTTTAGAATACTTTTTTGAAACACATCTAGATTATAGATATGTGAGGAACATGCAGCTCCCCATGCTAATATACCATATGTGAGATTGAGGCTCAATCAGTGCATGGTATAATGTTCGAAGATATTTTTCTGTCAATATATTCCCAAGGTATTTAATTTTGTAGGATACAAATCTAACTTTCTTTAAAATATAATTGACATGGATGTCCCATCGTAAGTGAGGATCCAAGACCACTCCAAGGTATTTTATGTTGGGCACTCTATTAATTTGCATTTTTTGATCATTAATGTTGAAGGAGAAATTTGTGTAATTTGGCAGATGTCTAGCATAAGATCCAAATGGTAAAAAATGTGTTTTAGAGTATTTAATGCTTAATTTTCTACTGTTGAACCACCAAATAATTTTGATAAAATCATTTTCAATTACATTTTTCAGATCAGACCAGTCAGTGCCTTCATATAATATTGCAGTATCATCTGCAAAACTAGTTATTTTGCCAACACAATTAATTTGGAAAATATCATTTGAATATATATTGAATACCAGCGGACCTAAGACAGTTCCTTGTGGGACACCACACTTAATATACATTTCTTTACTAAATGATCCTGATATCTGCACAGATTGTGGGCGATTTGACAAATAATTTTCGATCAGTGAGTACGCGTTTCCTCTGAAACCAATTCTCTCCAATGCTTCTAATTATAATTTTTGATTAACTGTGTCGAAAGCTTTCTTTAAATCAACAAAAATGCAGATTGAAGGGATTCTGTTATCAATATTTTGATGTAATCGATTTACAATTTTAGTTATTGCGTCCGATGTAGCCTTCCCTTCTGTAAATCCATATTGATTTTCACTTAAAATTTTGAATTTTGTGAGGTATCGAATCATTCTAGTAGATAAAACTTTTTCAAAAACCTTTGCTACACTGGATATTATTGATATTGGTCTATAGTTGTTAACATCTGTTTTTGTTCCTGATTTATGTATCGGTATATTACCTTTTTTTAAAATTGAGGGATATATGCCAGATTCAAAGCATTTGTTGATTAGGTAAGTGAGTGTTTCTGTTTTCGGCTATAATTTTGAAATGCTCGCTTTTAATACCATCGAACCCAGGACTTTTTCGATTTTTTAAGGACATAACAGTGGTGTATACTTCACATTGCTCGACTTTATCCAAAATAAATGAGTTCAAAGTTCTTTTTGGAGGCCGAGTATTTTGTACGTTTGCTTGTATACTACTTGCTAAATTTTCGCCTCAGTAAAGAATTGTACAAATTCATCGCATATCTGTTGAGTATTTTTTAATACGGTTCCCGATGTTGTATTTAACTCAGTGACACACTCTTTAAATTTTGTTTTCCCAGTAATCTCATCAATAGTTGTCCAAAACCACTTAGGATCATTTAAGTTGTTATTCAATTTATTTAGGTAATGTTTTCGTTTGGTTTGCCTTGCAAGCTCTATAAATTTATTTTTATATTGGTTGTAGCAGTCGGTATTCTCTGTAGTTGGCGTTAGTTTCATTACATTATATAGTCTTTCTTTTTCTATTGCCGATGTTATTAATCCTTTGGTAATCCAGGCATTTCTGCATTTCTCTTCCTAACTAATTATTACTTTATTGGTACTAATATCTATTAGTTTTTTTATTTTCTCTATGAACAGTCCCGTTGCTTTGTCTATATTATTTATAGAGTATAATTATTCCCAAGATTCTTGTTTGACATTTGATATTAGTTTTGAATTGTCGACAAAAAATTTGTAATTTTCCTGGTTGTTATTAACGGTAGGGATGTTAGAATGTTTTTCATTTGAAGATATCAGTAAAATAGTGGAGAAGTGGCCAGTAATATCGCTTTCTAGGATTATTGGTATACAAGTAATTTTGTTGGATAGGTCTTTCACAAAGCAGTGATCTATACATGTGCCACTGATGGACCTTGTAGGTAGGTTTATATAGGACAGAAATCCGTTACTTGATAGGATATTCAAGTATTCATTTGTGATGGGATCATCGTCCAAAATATTTATATTCACATCTCCCAAGAAAATATGTTGCTTTAAATGAACTTTAGTTTGATTTTGAAAAAAAAATCGATATTCTTTAAAAACTCGTGGGGTTCTGAACATGGCGGACGATAAATTGCAGATACCTCAATTTTGTTATGGTTAATTTGGATCATTATGTTTAAAATTTTGATTCCATTGGTGAAAGTGAATGTATCATGATTATATTGCAGTTTATTTCTTACAAAAACTATCACCCCATCGTTTTGGTTATAAGTTATAATGATTCCAATATTGTCTTTTAACCTAAAAATTCTTCCTCTTTGCATTTCTTCTATTTAATATCGATTTTTAGCTTACCAGACCTGACATGCATACACATTTGTACCACAAGAACTGAAATCTTATTATACCACTCTAACAACCAACAGTGCAATAATATTCCATTACTTGTTTATTTTTTTTAATAGAAAAACAATTTAGAATTTTGTAAATCAAGATTCAGATTTTTTCTGGATGTTTCCATTGAAGATGCCCAACTTATGATTTTTAAAAAAATGGAAATACGAGATGACAGATGAGAGATGAGTAGCTTGCTGAAATATTTTAAAGAAATAGTACTTGCACCGGTCAAGGACATAAAAATCAAATCAGGTTTAAAACAAAAAAAGGAGTAGAGACTATAAGACAAACAACAAAATAAAAGTTTTAAATTGTATGCCGGAAAAAATCATACATATAGAAAACACCAGGTATTAAGATACTTTTCACATTTTCTTTAAATTATGCATGTCGGATGCTTTTCGGCAGATGATTAAAAAAATGTATGCCCTGGTACTCTGGAGACTTCTGACTCCTTGTTAGCCTGAAGCACTCGCATTAGAGTACTCTTTAACCTGTTATAGTGTTCGTGAACATCACTGTGCATCCTGAACATAGCAAGGTTGTTCTTTATATGGAGAAGGCAGTTCACGATGTATTGGGAGGGCAATTTTAAAATCCCTAGGCATCTAAAAGTCTGCCTACAATCAGCCCTAAAATCCAATCCCTTAATTATCCGGATGGCCTTCCTCTGATCAGTATCGCATCCCCAGATCAGTAAATGACGGACATGATGGAATGGAATAATGCATAATAAGCTGTTCTCAACCCAGATGCACTCACGCGTTCCTCTAGGCGTCGTAACGCATTCAGTCCAGAGCCAAGTTTTTTCGCCACTTGATTTATGTGGACATCCGATTTAAGATGCGGGTCGACATGCACCCCCAGGAATTTTGCAGATGGTGTTTTCATATTTACATCGCCTATCTTCCGTAAGCTTGCTTTGATTCAGCACTCCAGTCCACTCGACCGAAATATGCCTTGATATCCCACTGAAACGGCTTCCATTCCCAATATTGCTAGAGATAGTGGTGTCGCAGGCTAAAAGGGTGAAGTACGGGGTGCGGCAGAGAGGACCGCCGCGAACAGTTCGAACTCCTGAAAATGTTGAACGCGTTCGACAGATCTTTCTTCGCAGTCCGACTCGATCTGCCCGGAAACATGCTGCTGCACTTTGCCTTAGTGATCGTTCGGTAAGGCGAATTTTGCATATGGATCTCCGCTTTCACCCCTACAAATTGGCCATTGTGCAACAGTTACAGCCCGGAGATTATGCACAACGCATGAACTTCGCACGTGAGATGGAAGCACTGATCGATCAAAATGAGAACCTCATTTTGTTTATGAGACACCGCAAGGCTAGAGTATACGCGAACAAGCCCCGAACTCTGGACGAATTGAAGGGCGAAATTCGCGTGGAAGTCGCCCAAGTTGAGCGAGCGATGTTGGAGAGAGTCTATGCGAACTTCCAAGAACGCCTCCAGCACTGCATCAACGACTTCGGCCACCACATGCCTGATGTGATTTTCCACACTTGACTGTCTCAAATGCTATTTCCTTGTGAACCTGATTCCAACAATAAATTTGTTTTCGAGTAAAAATTAACTATTTTATGATTTTTTTAAAACCGTCCATCCTCTCTGCCGCACCCTGTACAACAGGAATAATATAGGACCCAATACTGAGTCCTGTGAAATTCCAAAGGACAGTTCCGTTTCCCATTTTGTCTTTAGCCTTTAGAGGAAGCAGTTGGAAGAATTGTTAACAACCCTAAGCTATAATTGAAATGAAAGGAATATATAAGATTAATATTGCTGATAATTTGATTGGAACAAATTCATTAAAATTAGCAACACTTGACAGTAATTTCTTGGAACTCCTATAATCAGCTAAAGGTCTTCAACCTCACTTGAATCCGTGCCAAAGTAATCTCCATTGTAACGCTTTTTTTGCAAATGCACAATAGACGGTTAAGATTTAGATTTGAGAAGATTGATGTTAGAAAAGGCATCAAATAGCAGTTACAGAATCCATCTTCCTATGAAATTCGAACTTTTAGTTCTCTCTCAGAACCAGTTTGGAAATTGTATCATAGGACTGCCAGTTACGGAATCAGTTCCATTTTCTGTAGGAAAACTAGTTCGATGGTTAGTTGGAACAAAGGAAACAGCAGTCGACTGTAAAGTGATTTTCAATGACAAATTTGTTTTTTTTTCTCATTATTAGGCTCAAAATAGTGACCCTCGTATATTACACAATAATTTAATAATACTTCTCACTTTGTTAAAATAACAATCCTTACATCTGAATTTTTGACTGTTTTTTTTAAGGTGAACTTATGTTCCTGATCAAATGGAACGGTACAGATGAAGCGGATCTTGTACCAGCAAAGCAAGCCAATATCAGGTGTCCCCAGATAGTTATAAGGTTCTATGAACAACGTCTCAAATGGCATGCTCCAAATTTAGAGAAACCTAGCAATGAATAAGTTTAAGAATCATTTAGAATAGGAAGTATTCCATTTCAGCATGTAACATATTTTGGGATGGTCATCTAAATCACAGGTACAATACACCAATTATATAATAAAATAAAAAATAAAATAATCCGGATCCTGCTGGAGCACCTTTTGTTCAATTTTTTAAATCCCCTCCCTTTTTAATTATTGCAAGTTTTTTCACTCCGACTATTTTTCTGATTTCTCGGATCATTCTGTACAAGAAAGGACGTCCTGTATATAAGCCATTTAATGTCTCAAAAACAAAAAAAATGCTATCTTCGATGATTAACAACTCGGTTAAAAATCCGTTATTTTTGCGGTTGCCAAGTGTCTGGATTAAAGTGAGCATCTTCCCCTACAAGACCCGAAGAGTATTTCATTAATTTATTTTAAGCTACTTCAAGGCCAAAAACGGCGAACTTTTGATTTTTAGAGACTACAATACAGCCTTCACTAAATTGAAGCAAAAACCAATGTTTTGTTTATAACAGAGTGTATCGACGGTTATTTTTTTTTTAAATATACAGAGCGTCCCACAAGTCATGGAAAGGTAGTAATATGGGATAATTTCCGGCTGACTTTTCTGACTGGAAATGACCCTCTATATTTCCATGACTTTTGGGACGCCCTGTATATTGAAAAAAGTTAACTGCCGATACACTTTGCGAATAAACAAAACAATGGTTTCAGCTTCAATTCAATGAAGGTGGTATGTACAGTCTGCGAAATACAAAAGTTGGCGTTAACAAACTAGCTTGAAAATCGTTTTAAAATGAATAATTGAAAAAATAAATTAATCTTGAAATACTTCTCGGAGTCTTGTAGGGATTTTTAATTTAGTAGCTTGAAAACCACTTTAGAGAAAAGTCACTGATGACCTTTATTTTTCAGAATAATCCGAGATATAAAAAAATGGTCGGGGCGATTCATTTTTTCAATTGCTAAAGGGAATTGAAAGAATGGACCAAAATGTGTCCCGGCAAAATCTAGATTATTATTCTTTGACTTTTTCTCAGTTATCTGTTCATAAAGTACGGTCCTCGCATTTTGCAAACTCGATACCATACAGGGCCTTTTCTGTCGTAGTGAATGTACAGATTTTGGGTTGTGTCACTAGTCTTGCCAATATTGCATTGACGTGGAACTATTCTACCACAGATTTTTTAACATCGTTGGAGTTTGAGCTTGAATAAAATGATTAATTACTATCAGATTGCATATTACTAGTATAAAATGCCTTAAAGCCATAGCATCTTTTTTTTCACAAAATATTTGTACATACTGACTCGAATATATTTTAATCCCCAAAATGTGTTGCCGTTTATAACTCAAATAGTTTATAATGAAAATCAACATAGACGCTTTGTATACATGTCCCAATTTTTTATTTTTCTGCTTTCAGCAACACTTGTATTTGTCATAATTTTTAAGGCTTCTTTCTGTATTCTATTCTACTCAAAATTTGTATATTTTGGAAATACTGCATCATTGTATGGAAGCTGATCAAAGAATTATTTCCATAGCATTACTTATTATTAGCTACAGATCTCTATATTTTTTTGCTCTAGCAATTACATAGTTTAATGAGTAATTATTTTGTGATAATTTGAATAATAGATTTTGATAAAAAAATAAAACTATACTATGTAAAATTTCTTTTGGTAAAAATGTGCCATTTATTAATTAAGTAATGTGTAAAAGTTTGATTAAGGCACCAAACTAATTTTCACAGTTTTGGGAATGACATTTGTTTGGATTTTTTCTAGCTGGACTTTTGGTGATAAGTAATGTCGTGTGCTGAATAAATAAATATAAATAAAGTTACTTTCTTTATAACAAAATGCTTTTATTTTTAGTTATACCTATATCAAAAATGCAAAAAATGTTTTGCCAATTAACGCAAAGAAAACCATGTAGGAAAATGGGAAAAAATAAAAATTACATACATTCCTATCTTGTATTAAAAAACTATGCTCAGATTTGCATAAAATAGCAGCAAACTAGAAGAACTATAACATTGAAATTATTACAAATATATAGAATACAAGAAGTCTTGTATATCAAAAAATAAAAGCCTAATGGCAATACAAGAAAAAATATAAAAACAAACAACGTGAATCTGAACATCAGACAATAGAAATATATTTCGATTACTACATGGTAGTGACAAAAGATATAAACAGTAAGTCGATTTTAGAATATTAGAAGTCAACCAAAATATTATTCCCTGACTGGGTAATAATGTCTTTCATTGATTTGAAAAAAAGTTACAAAACATTTTTACAAGAAAAAAATCTGAGACCACTGGCACATAAGACTATCTTTTAGGCATCTTCTATATTACAAAAATAGATTTATTTTCTAATCTATGTAGTCAAGATTTGTTGTTATGGCAGCTCAACTTCCTGCTTTATTCCTAAGTCAGCTTCTTCAGTGACACACACTTCTTGGAAGTTTGCACTGCTTGACCCACATTCTGCAGGATCCTCTGGTTCCCTTTTGATAGCGACTCCCAAACTTCCAGGCAATAAAGGAGTCACCGATGTAGGATCAACAAAATCTGGAAATTAAAATTCCAAATATCACCACATACAAACAATCAAGCGCAATCTAGAACTACTGGTTGCAAATTTTATAACAGACAAAGCCAAGACTGAACATTATTTTCAGCTTGAATATCTTTTCAGAAAAAGTCACATAACTTCTGTTCGGCTGCACCGATTTTGATGATTTTCGTTTCGTTCATTTTTTTATCACTAAATGGCGTTTGTGGATGAGTCACCGTTTTTCGTAATGTTTTCAAAAATTTCAAATACGATATGATTTTTTTATATTAATCGGCTAGTGCATAAGTAATCCTATGAAATGATTAAAACCGCAGATCAATATCTTTATTTGTTATGGAGATGTACAGGGTGTCGCAAAGTTGGGGGTTTCCTTTACACGACGTGTAGATCTTGAAAACATAAGCAATTTTTCTTAGTACCATATACACCAATGTCTTAAGGGAACCGAGATAAAGGGCTCTGCAACATCAAAAATATCTGAATACCGTCCTGTAGCCGCGACATCCCAGAGTGGACACTAGCTCAACCCGACGACAGAACTGGGTCGGGGTCAGTGTGTCAGGTCAGTATGCAACCTTCAACCGACGGTTACGGTCACGCGTGTAGAGGTAATCGCGTAGACGAGAATCCCTCAACAAGCACTAGAGACGTGGCTAGAGAAGTGCAAGTATCAAAAACTAAAGTGTGGCAAACGCTGCGTGAAGAGGGGCTGTATCCGTTTCACGTCCAACGTGTACAAGCCCTTCAACCTGACGATTTTCCAGCAAGAGTGCGGTTTTGTGAGTGGTTTTTGCATCAACATGACAATAATCCGGACTTTTTGAAGTGCATATTGGTGACAGACGAATCTACGTTCACGCGTAATGGGGTGAATAACTTTCGCAACACTCATGTTTGGTCAGTAGAAAATCCGCACGCTGTGCGTCGGGCACATTTTCGGTGAATGTTTGGGCTGGCATGGTGAACGGTATGCTCATTGGACCATTTATTCTCCCAAATCGATTGGACGGGATGCAATACCTAGATTTGTTACGCAACATTTTGCCTTCCTTGTTAGAAGATGTGCCATTAAGTGTAAGACAATCAATGTGGTTTCTGCGTCTGCTCGGTAGCGCATCAGCTGATTTCATTTTCTGTTGGAATGGTATGATTTCGGGCAGAGACGTACTTAGCCCTTCTCGTCAACTGGAGAGTGAGTACTTTTTCCTTTATTTTTTTTACTTGGTCGCCCTCATTTCACTACACATTACCTTTGTTGTTTCAAGGGTAGTTGTTTCTGAAAAGGAAAACCCCAACTTTGCGGACACCCTGTTTAATATATGCACAATGTAGTGATTTTTTTCCAGGAACATCAACATTCTTTTTCCTCCCAAAGGCCAGAGCCAGAGTAGTTTTGGACAAAGTTTCACGAGAAACTAAGGTACTAATCCGAAGAAAAATTCACGAATTTTTCTTTAGAAACTAACCACCCACATTGCATAGATTTTCAAAAACTAAAAACCTTTTTATAATTGACATAGAAGAGTCTGAAAATTTCATCAAAATCCGAGCGGTATTTCTCAAGTTATAGGCGGTTATAAAATTAGCGGACACACAGTCCGACGGAAATGAGTGACATTGTTTTTCGTGAGGTACTGTCATAACATCCAAAAAACAATATCTCAATTTCGCGATTACAATACTTCCTCACCAGTTTCGGAATAGGAAGTAATATTATTTTATTCATGACTTCACACATGCGTAAATCTGAAACCACTCCACATCACAAATGGAAAGATTGCTTATTGCTTCAACCAACATTGTCAACAATTCAAAACAGCACAACTTACCTGGCGCATCCACTGGTTCTTCTTTCACTACCGGACAAGGTTCTGAAGTTACTGAAAACAAAATAAAAGAATTTATATATGCAATGATAGTGATTTGTTCTTTCCAGGTCAACACGATCATTACCGAATTTATAAGATTCGACTGAATCTGATTTTCGCATAATATTGATCTCAAAAAAAAATCACAGAGTATAGTACTACACTACAGTAAAAAGAACTTACCACTTGGGTCGATATGTTCCGTTTTCAGCCTTTTCGCGGGGGTTTCTGCAATGAAAAAGCAATCGTCAAGAGCGAATAATAAAATGTTACCATTAATTGACATATTCTAAATATTTTTGAGTTTATTTTTTGAGTGAGTGTTGTACTTTAGTCATTTTTTCCAGCTCCAAACTTAGTGAGTGTATACAGGGTGTCCGCAAAGTTGGGGTTTTCCTTTACACGACGTGTAGATCTTGAAAACATAAGCAATTTTTCTTAGTACCATATACACCAATCTCTTAAGGGAACCGAGATAAAGGGCTCTGCAACATCAAAAATATCTGAATACCGTCCTGTAGTCGCGATATTCCCGAATGGTACTAGGACACTAGCTCAACCCGACGACTGAACTGGGTCGGGGTCAGTGTGTCAGGTCAGTATGCAACCGACGGTTACGGTCACGCGTGTAGAGGTAAACGAACCCATATAATCGATTGCGTTTCAAAAAACAACAAGCACTAGAGACGTGGCTAGAGAAGTGCAAGTATCAAAAACTAAAGTGTGGCAAACGCTGCGTGAAGAGGGGCTGTATCCGTTTCAAGTCCAACGTGTACAAGCCCTTCAACCTGACGATTTTCCGGCAAGAGTGCGGTTTTGTGAGTGGTTGTTGCATGAACATGACAATAATCCGGACTTTTTGAAGTGCATATTGGTGACAGACGAATCTACGTTCACGCGTAATGGGGTGAATAACTTTCGCAACACTCATGTTTGGTCATTACGCAACATTTTGCCTTCCTTGTTTGCTTGCGTCAGCTCGGTAGCGCATCAGCTGATTTCATTTTCTGTTGGAGCGGTATGATTTCGGGCAGAGACGTACTTAGCCCTTCTCGTCAACTGGAGAGTGAGTACTTTTTCCTTTATTTTTTTTTTACTTGGTCGCCCTCGTTTCAAGGGTAGTTGTTTCTGAAAAGGAAAACCCCAACTTTGCGGACACCCTGTATAGAGAAGACATCTTTGTCCAAAAGTTTCGTGATATTCACAGAAAAGTCTGACACTGATTCACATCCCATCATAAAATCATTCAAGTAATATTTAACTCGACAGCAAATGATTTTCGTATAATACTGATCTAAAAAAATTATTCACAGAGCATATACAGGGTGACGGGAAAATAGATGCGGAGCCGATGGGGGGAGATAGTACAAGCCAATCTGAGTCGATTTTACTATAGGAACTACTGTCCGAAAATTAGACGTTTTCGAATTATACTAATTTTTAAGATTTTATAAAATTAACGTCCTTTATACGTTAACCAAGTCATAAAACTTGAAAATTGGGTGTTTCATTTTTTTTTGTTTTACAATACAAATATTTTAAAATACGAAAATTGATACTCAAATGTACATTATTGACGTTATCTCATGCAGTAAGCTTCAAAATACAGCAGACGCTCGATAATGTAAACTAATTTAATCCAAGTGTGGTTCACATTATCGAAATGTTTACATTAGCGAACGTGATTTATATAATATTTGATTTATTAAAAGAAACGTTTAATACATACTATTTATATCAAAATAAACAAATATTCTAACAGCGATAAGTATTTTTTTAATTAGAAGAAAAATAATTAACAATTTTTGTCTGCGTAAATTTGCGCTTAGCATTGTCTTCCAATGCCTGTGCCCGTAATTTACGAAGAACTAAAATATCCGTGTATGAAACTTCTTTTCTTTCAGCCCCATCTAAAGCTTGGTTAAAAACTTGTATAGCTTGCGCGTCAGTCACTACACTTCTGACTTCAATGGGATCGTTCTCATCATCCTCACTGTCCATATCCTCCTCTTTATCAGCATCATTCGTCTGCATAAATTAATATCAGCAGGAGTACAAACAATGTTGGGATTCACTGTTTTCAATAAATCAACAACATCCAATGCCACACTAATAACATTATCATTATTGGATCGCAAACGTTCTCTAATTACGCTTAAGAGGACATCATCTTCTTCATCATCTTCATTATTGGTACAAAAGAGATTGTTCCAACATTTTGGCATAGTTTGCTGGTTAAGTTCATTTCAGGCCATATGTAAATCTAAAACAGCTTCTCGTAATGTTACTTTTTTTAAAGCCTCAGATAAGTTTTCAGGATTCTTTGATAAGACAGACGAAAGTAGAAACTTTGTTTGGTGAGTTTTATTATATTCTGGTCCATCGGTTGAATTAACGGTGTTACGTTGGGCGGCATGTACATGACGAAAACTGACCCATCCCTGCTCCTCAGTTGTTGCTCGGGAGGATGACTTGGTGCATTATCCAATAGTAACAACGCTTTTATTGGAAGCTTCTGTTGTTTTAGGAAACATTTTACCTACAAATTGAAACACATCTTCAAATTATGAATAGAGCATTTGTGATAATTGATTGTCATACCTGAGGGACAAAGCACCTGTGTAACCATTTCAGGAATATACTGCTAGTCATCCAAGCGGTTTTTGAACAGTCATAATCAACAGGGATATTAACATTTTTAAATGAGCGCGGATTTTTTGCTTTCCCAATTACCAGTGGCTTTATTTTGTGTGAACCATTAGCATTAGTGCAGGCTAGAGACGTTATTCGTTGTTTCTGCGGCTTTCTTCCCGGGGCAGATTTTTCAAATGATGCAGCATAGGTTTTCTCTGGTAACATTTTCCAATAAAGGCCACTTTCATCTGCGTTGTAAATTTGTTCCATTCTTAAAACTAGCTCGGTAATTGTTTTCATCAATTTTTCTTTGAATGATTACACTAATTGTGGTTGTGCTGATAATTTTTCACCAGATATAGACAGCAGTCGAATTCCATATCTTGTTTTGAATCGTTGTAGCCAGCCATCACTAGCTACGAAATTTTCAGTTTCTTTCAGTTTTTCATTTAACAGTCTCGCTCTCTGTTTAAGTACTTCGCCACTAACTGGGACATGATTTTCCCGTTGTTTTAAAAACCACTTATACAGAGAATTTTCCATTTTAGGTGCCTTCGCATTTTTTAAAGTTTTTCTTTTTCCCGGACCTCCAAATGTATTGCACGTTCTTTGTAAAATTTGAGTTTTCATACGCTTAATTTTACAGACTGTTGCTTTCGATACTCCATATTTTTTTGCTAACTGTGTCACTCCCGCACCTAGTGCAACTTCGTCTATGATTTTCACTTTCTCGCTCAACTTTAAACACTTTCTTTTATAGGATGTGGATGCCATAGTCGTAAAATATATTAACGCGTGCAATGTATTCACTTAAGTTCAAAAATGAAATACATACGTACGTATAAACGTATCCTAAATGATCATACGACTGACCGAGTTTGTCGTATTTTATCGCAGAGGTGAATCCCCTACACTTTACATCATAAATCGGGGACTCCCCGACGCCCGACATAAATCATCGAGGCTTCAGCATTTTACCGTCGCGCTGTTTCCGTGCGCCGAGAGTTGTTTACGTTATCGAGCGTTCCGTTTGATCCCATAGAACGAAGTTTGTGTTTACATTAGCGCAAGTTTTCATTACCCCGTGTTTACGTTATCGAGCGTCTGCTGTAGTTCAATTTTTGTTAAAAAATTCTTTGTTCATCTCCAAAAATCAAATTACTAGAAACAATCACCTACAAATTTTTCGCGCAAAACAATTTTAAAATATCTACGTTTCATTACCTTTCAAATCAGGTATCAGTCACAAATCGATTAAGAATTGGAAAAAATATGACTATTATAAAAGGAGGATGGAAAAAGCAATAAAAATACTACGCTTACAAAATCATACCTTAACACAGGATAATTTGTTTGAAACTACATTTTTTTATTTTTATAATACATTTTGCAATATGGCGCCCTCTATTTCTAGTGCACACATGTGCTGTTCTTACGACAGCTGATTTTGCTACCGCCGAATTCCCAAGAGAGGCTTGAATTCCTTGTGTTGTTTCGGAGGTCTTCTATTCTACGAAAATTTCTTAAGAAATGTTCTATTTGAATTACTTGAAGACGTGCCGCTACACACAAGACACAGAATGATTTTTCAGAATGACGGTTGCCCAGCACATTTCAGACTAAGTGTTAGAAATTGGTTAAATGAACAGTTTCCGAATCGATGGATCGGTATAGGCGGGCAAATCCCATGGCCAGCACGCAGTCCCGATCTCACACCTATGGACTTTTTTGTGTGGGGTCGCATGAAAACTTTAGCATACTCTGATCAAAATCCTGTACCCACAATAGAAGGCCTCAGAAACAGTATAATACACAAGAAATTCAAGCCTCTCTTAGGAATTCGGCGGTAGTAAAATCAGCTGTCATACGAGGGATGTCTTTTAAGTTTTGCATATAGAATCATAGTAGGCCGCGCGGATCGAACGTCAGTATTGAATCTTAACCTCACTCTTTAGTAAACTTAAATTCAAAGTTGGAAAATGGAACTCAACCGAGAACGTTTTCGCGCCATAATTTATTACAACTTTCAGCGACAATTATCGCAACAAGAATGCCTTGCTGAGTTACTGTATGTTTTCGGCAACGAAGCGACACATCAGTCGACAATTTCCCGTTGGTATGGACAATTCAAACGTGGACGGGTGAGTATTAGCGATGATCGAACGTCAGTACTGAATCTTAACCTCACTCTTTAGTAAACTTAAATTCAAAGTTTCACAACAATACGTGCAGGGTTCTCACTACAGTGAATTTTTAAGTAGCACCAAATCATTAGAAAAATGGAACTTAACCGAGAACATTTTCGCGCTATAATTTATTACAACTTTCAGAGACAATTATGGCAACCAGAATGCTTTGCTGAGTTACTGTCTGTTTTCGGCGACGAAGCGCCATATCAGTGGACAATTTCCCATTGGTATGGAGAATTCAATTCAAATTCCCTCGTAAGAAGAGCACGTGTATGCATTAGAAATAGAGGGCGCCATATTGAAAATGTATTATAAAAATAAAAAAATGTAGTTTCAAACAAATTATCCTGTATTAAGGTATGATTTTGTAAGTGTAGTATTTGTAATGCTTTTTCCTTCCTCCTTTTATAATAGTCATATTTTTGCCAATTCTTAATCGATTTGTGATTTTTATACCTCATTTGAAAGGCAATGAAACGTAGATGTTTTCTAATTATTTTGGACGAAAAATTTGTATGCGACTTTTTCTAGTAAACTGAAGCTTTTGAGATGACCGAAGATTTTTTAACAAAAATCGAACTATTTTGAAGCTTACTGCACGAGATAACGTCAATAATGTACATTTGAGTATCAATTTTAGAATATTTTTATTGTAAAACAAAAAAAAATCAAATGAAACAGCCAATTTTCAAGTTTTATGACTGGGTTAATGTATAAAGGACGTTAATTTTATGAAATCTTAAAAATTAGTATAATTCGAAAACGGCTAATTTTCCTATAGTAAAATCGACTCAGATTGGCTTGTACTATCTCCCCCCACCGGCTCCGCATCTATTTTCCCGCCACCCTGTATAATAAACACAGCTTACCACTGGGTTCGATATGTTCCGTTTTCAGCCTTTTCGCGGGGGTTTCTGCAATGAAAAAGCAATCGTCAGGAGCGAATAATAAAATGTTACCATTCATTAATGTAATATACGTCTTTCAGTTAATTTTTTCAGTGGATTTTGTCATTTGGCCATTTTTTTCCAGCTATAAACTCAGATACTGCATATAAGCGAGTAACAGAAGTCCCCTTTCTGTTTTCAATCTTAATTGGCCATGGCGGAAATCGGACGAACAACAAGAATATCGTGCTTTCGCAGGGTCAAGTCATGGCCAACTGAGATGGTAATGCCACAGGCCGTATGGCAAGAGAAAAGCTAATTCTTCTACAGGTAGATTCCGGAAACTTCAAAATTGCGAGGTAGACAACATTTTTGAAATCCAATTTTCATTCTCTTTTTTGACTACTAAAGTAAATATCTCCTTACTATAAGAAATGCTTTACAAATAATATGGCAAAAGCAAAAATACGAAAAAAAAATGTAATTTTAACGCAAAGTTTGAGACAAAATATTTTAACAGAATTGTTCCTATAAGTTATATTAAAGATAAAATTTTCATATATACTAAGTGACATATAAATCCGAACACCCAGTTTAAATGGTTTTATTTTAATAAAATTTTGTATAAGCGCTTAATGAGGCATAATAAGTAAATGATAAAAATTTCAAAATGATTGCACTGCTTTAAAGCCCTTTGACCTTTAATAATGTGTGGATGTACCCTGATGTGCTACGCATTCTCCAACGCGCCTAGGCATGCTTCTGATCAGGTGGTCAATGTCCTCCTGTGGTATCTCATTCCAGGCAACCACCAACGCCTCTCGAAGTGCTTCTAGAGTCTGAGGAGGACGTTGCAAATTGAGAAATCTCCTACCCATCATATCCCACACGTGCTCAATTGGAGATAAGTCGGGAGATCTTGGTGGCCATGGTAACAATGTGACATCATTATGTTGAAAGAAGTCTATTGTGACTCTTGCAACATGTGGTCGGGCATTATCTTGTTGGAAAGTTGGATCTGCCAGGGTGTCAAGATAGGGTAAAAGATGGGGTTCTAGAACTTCGTGGATATAACGCTGCGCGTTCATGTTACCTCTGATGAAGATTAAAGCTGACCTGGAACCATAAGCTATAGCACCCCAAACCATAACTCCAACAGTGTGATGAACATGTCTTTCAACAAAAAACTGTGGATTCCTCCTTTCACCACGTCGCCTTCTAACCCTGGCAAGACCATCGTGCATGCCTAAACAAAATCGAGACTCGTCACTAAAGACAATACTGTTCCATTCCTGATCCCAGAGTGACCGTTGTCTGCACCACTCAAGGTGATTACGTCGGTGTTCTCGAGTTAAAGGGAGGACCCAGTGTGGCCGGTATGAAAACAAGCCAAAACTTCTCATTCGTCGGTAAACACTTCGCATGCCAATAGGTCTTCCGTGTTCTGCAAACCATTCATTTGCAATGGACCTGGTAGTGGAGAAACGGTCCCTTAAGGGCAATAATCTTAGGCGGCGATCTTCACGGTCTGTTGTTCTACGGCGGCGTCCAGTGCCACTTGCTCTTTGCGTACGGCCTTCTCGAAGCCATGCCTGACAACACCTAACCACAGTGTCTACACTTCTTTGCACTCTAACTGCAATTGCCCGAAAAGAAAGTCCAGCTTCCCGAAGTCCCACTATACGGCCCCTATCAAACTCACTAAGTTGACGAAATCGTACAGGTCTCCGTACTCTAGGCATCGTAACAGATCGTAAAGGATGTCAAGAACCAAAATCCGCCAACGTTGATTCTTTACTGCGGCTGATATATTCATTTTTAGAGCGTTAGTGAATTAAAAAAAAAGCAGTATAAAAACCGGAATGTCCAACTGATAAGGCTGAAAATATTTTCACTTGTTATTTACAGTAAGATAAATACATTCACCAACTTTTATTAAAATAAAACCATTTAAACTGGGTGTTCGGATTTATATGTCGCTTAGTATATTATGACTCTCGTCAGGTGTTTGAGTAATCGATCTCTGCAGTTCTACATGGAACACCGAACGCTCTGTATAACAATAGAATTTTTGGAAATACGTCATACCTTCTATATCGTTCTCCTCTAGCTTTATGTCGGTGTCTACTATATCAATATCTTCAGGACCTGAAACATAATTGACCATTTACAAGACGATTCCAAAAACAGTGGCAGTATTTTTAAGAAACAACATATATCTACCGTGTTACATAGTCTAATTTTGTTTAAAAATCGTTATTGAAAACATACTTTGAATTTACATGTACAATCCGTGGGAGTTACATCCACACAAAAAAGTAAAGGCGTACTTGGACGGTGAAGTGTAAAAATCGAAATCTGAGATAATTGAGTTCAAATTTCAAACTAAATAAATAGTATTATTACGACAGAACAAAACTGAATCAATATTGCACAGTTACGGGACTATATCATGGAGTCATTTAAATGTGATTTCAGATCATAATTGTTGTTGAAGCCTAAAATAAATGACATTCCGACGTTAATAGTTGTTAATCAAAAAACTACTATGTGATTTACTGATTTAATACTTCTACTAATAAAAACACACATACATAGTACAAAAGTAAACATTTTCAACACCTAATAATTCAATTTAATAATTACTTGATTACATCTAATAATTACATTAAAAAATAACTATTTAAATAAACTAAAAACACCGTGTTTTCTTATATGTTAAGTTGAACGAAGAATACTTTTCGAAATTATTCTTTTGAGGCTAAAGTAATTATTTATATTCGATAAAACACTTATTCACAAATAATATAATTATTACATAAAAACTTAAGCACCTAAACATCATAATAATGGGTGATTTTTTGCTAGTATCTTTTTGGCAACACTGTTTTTGACAGATGATGCGTGAATCGTGTCATGTGTCATTGTCAAACTTGTTCAGTTTGGTCTATAATTTAACCATGAATCGTCTTACGAACGAACAACGCTTGCAAATTATTGAATTTTACTATCAAAATTCATGCTCGGTTAAGAGAGTGCATCGAGCACTGCTTTCAATTTATGGGCAATTTGGTCGGCCTACTGAGGGAGCTATTCGGAAGCTTGTGACTAAATTTCGAACCCAGTTTACATTATTGGACATTAAACCAGCAACACGCAGACGTAGAGTGAGGACTGAAGAAAATATTGCGGCTGTATCCGCCAGTGTTAGTGATGACCGTGAAATGTCGACTCGCCGCCGTTCGCAGTAATTGGGCCTCTACGTGGAAAATTTTGCGACAGGATTTGGGTGTAAAACCTTATAAGATACAGCTGGTGCAAGAATTGAAGCCACACGATCTCCCACAACGTTTCCCATTTGGTGAATGGGCGCTGGCAAAGTTGGAGGAAGATCCACAATTTTATCGAAAAATTGTGTTCAGCGACGAAGCTCATTTCTGGTTGAATGGGTACGTTAACAAGCAAAATTGCCGCATCTGGAGTGAAGACCAGCCAGAAGCATTGCAAGAGCTACCAATGCATCCCGAAAAAATCACTGTATGGTGTGGATTATGGGCCGGTGGTATCATCGGGCCGTACTTCTTCAAAGACGACAATGGCCGGAACGTAACTGTGAATGGCGAGCGCTACCGTGCGATGATAACAAACTTTTTTTCCCCAAAATGGAAGAGCTGGACTTGGCTGACATGTGGTTTCAACAAGACGGTGCCACATGCCACACCGCACACGAAACAATGGCCCTATTGAGAGGCGAGTTCGGGGCCCGTCAATTGGCCGCCTAGATCGTGTGATTTAGCGCCGTTGGACTATTTCTTGTGGGGCCATGTTAAGGCTAATGTCTACAAGGAGAAACCAGCAACGATTGACGTACTGGAAGCCAATATTGAAGCATTTCTTCGTTAGATACCGGCCGATATGTTGGAGAGAGTGTGCCAAAATTGGACTTTGCGCATGGGCCATCTAAAGCGGAGCCACGGCCAACATTTACATGAAATAATCTTTAAACATTAAATTATATCGACCGTTCTATCGACTCAAATAAAGATTTAATCGTTTTTTCAATTTTTTTGTGTTTTTTTGAAAATCAAATCCTATAACTCTTAAAAAATCACCCGTTATATTATAAAGGCGTAAAAAGGCAGTACTTGTATCATACAGAGAATAAAAGATGATGAAAATGAAGAATACTGCTTTTTGCATTGAAACATAAATTGACTGCTTTTATGTATGCTCAGGAAATATGATTAATATGAAATATTTGACGAAATGGAAAACGAACTACCATATTTTCGTTAAATAACGTGATCAATGATACATTTTGTAATTTTAATTATAAAAGAAATGTATGGCCTTAACATTTTCAGGTGACCACTAAATACAGCTATTGTGTTGCTAGTAGGAATGGCAGCTCCAGTTTCTAATACAGGGTGGTCCATAAGTCCTTTGAAATTTCAAATTTGAATAAAATTTAACGGGTGAGCGTGAGCGGCGCGGGCGAGGTGGGGGCAGTATCTTCAGTGTCTGGGAATTCAGTCGCCATGGAGTGTTTCACTGGAGCGGATCGTGCTTTTTGTGTGCGCGCGTTTTATCAAAATAATGATTCGGCAACCATTGCGCGGCGTAAATATCGAGAATACCACAATTTACACAATTTTACAAAGTGTCCAACAGCTCAAACGATTAAGAACTGGGTTGCTAAGTTCGAAGAGACTGGTTCGACGTTAGATAAACAGCGGTGGGGTCGACCAAGGATAACTCGTATTGAAGAAAACATCAACATTGTGGCACAGTCAGATTTACGTCTGCACGCTTACAAAATTCAGTTAGTGCAGGAATTAAAAGATAATGACGCTATTCAGAGACTAAACTATGCGAATGAAATGTTGAATCGATTTTCTTCGCTCAATAATGTGTTGTTCTCGGACGAGGCTCACTTCCATTTAAACGGGCATGTAAATAAACAAAATTGCCGTTATTGGAGCCCCGAAAATCCAAGGCGTAAGCATCAGAAGCCCTTATTTTTTTGACGACGACAGAGGTCGCGCATTAACTGTTACTTCGGAGCGGTATGTAGCAATGATAGAAGAGTTTTTGACACCAGCGTTGCAGAATTTTCCAGGCTATAATACGCAGACCTGGTTTCAACAGGACGGAGCAACTGCCCACACCTCCAACACTTCTATGCCCGTCGTCTGTCAACTTTTTCCCAGCAAAGTAATTTCTCGAAGAGGAGACATTTCCTGGCCACCACGTAGTCCAGATTTGACCCCAATGGACTTCTTTTTATGGGGCTACCTCAAGAGTAAAGTGTATGACACCACTCCGCGATCAGTTGATGTCCTGAAAGAAAATATCCGAAGAGAAATGGCAAGCATTACAGTGTTGACTTGCCGCGCAGTCATCGACAATTTTAGACGTCGTTTATATGAGTGCCGTGATCGTAATGGATTGCATTTAGACGATGTGATTTTTAAAACATAATTCCCATTCAATAAAGATGATAACAAAATATAATAATTCTTCATAATGTAACTAGTTTGGTTTTATTCCTTTTTTTCCAGCTCAAAGGACTTATGGGCCACCATGTATAAGCTAATATTGGCTTTTTACAGAATATAAAAATAATGCTGAACATGTCAAGCCAGTTTCCAATTTCGCCAAACAAACAAAAACCGACCGTAAAGCGTTTGAAAAAAATTCCTGTTGTAGACTGATTTTCAGCCTATGAAACTATGATCGCATTAACTAGTATTTTGAACAACTAAATTTGTTAAATGTAACAAAATTATTTAAGTTTGACTTATTATGTTTTCTGCACAAAATTCTAGCCACATCATTTCCTCCATTTTTAGACACGCTAATATTTCATGGGTGCACCCACTCAACTATTCGTTTTGTTAACACGTTAACCATGCCTCTTCCCAAGTCATCACTCTTCCATAAGTGCTTTAGTTTTAATGCAATTACCACCGCGTAAGAAGCTTCTGAACTGCGACGATTTCATAAAGAGTTAAGAAATCATGTTTGAACAAAAAATTTAAAGACAATCATCACACAACATTTCTCTAAATTATAAACATGAACTATGCAGGTCTTTTTAAATCATAATTTTGACATCATAGGCAGATTTATGTAATATTTATGTCATACTACTACAGTGGACCCCCTGTAATCCGACATGTCTTTGAATATATATTACATACGTACGTATTTGACAATCTTCGCTAATGTAGATCACGCAGGTTTGAACAGGTTACAACTTGTACGCGCCACCGCTATCGTGCTCGACGCGTAAGCATTGTTTCACTTAGTTTGAATTTGACTACTGGTGATAGCGGTACGGCCTAGCGTGCGTTCATTGTTTACTAGTTATTCGCTGTGTATTAAGTATAGTACATAGTAATGTCATCACAAACTCAGAAGCGGAAGCACAAAACATTGACAATTAAAGAAAAATGTGATATTTTAGACCGCTTAAATCGCAATGAAACTTTCAGTAGCTTAGCAAGTGAATACGGCGTAGGCCGATCTACAATAAATTTATGACATTAAAAGAAACCACGAGAAGATCACGAAGTTCGTGTCAAGTACTGACTGCGGGCCAGGCAAGAGACAGACACTCAAGAAAGCTGAACATCCAGAAGTGGAAGAAGCTTTGTACATGTGGTTTCCTCAGGAAAGAAATAGGCATGCACCAATTTCAGGACCCATGTTGGCCATGAAAGCTAAGTTTTTTTATAAGGAAATAACAAAAAAAGATGATTTTGTGGCCAGCAAAAGATGGCTAGAACGTTTTAAAAGTCGTCATGCATACGTTTAATGACTTTCTAACGATGCCACCTGCATAGAGCCCTTTAAATTAAGATTTTTGCAAAAGGTGAACGACTTAAATCTTGACCCGTCACAGGTGTACAATGCAGACGAATCAGGGATTTTTTGGCGTGTGATGCCTAACAAAACTTTCGTTTCTTCTAATGAAAAATCCGTACGTGAACGAAAAGTAAGTAAAGAAAGTGTAACCATGCAACCATGTGCTAACGCTGCATTCAAAAACATCGATTTACCTGTACACTACTACGGACAAAAAAGTGCATGGATGACAAAAGACCTTTTCAAAAGTGGTTTGATGAATGCTTCGTACCTGAAGTTAGAAAATGGTTAAAAGATCATAATTTTCCTCAAAAAGCGTTGCTTCTTGATAACGCTCCCGGTCATCCGTCTGCAGAAGAACTAACAACTGAGGATAAATGCATCACTGCGATGTTTCTTCCGCCAAATTGCACCGCACTGATTCAACCAATGCACCAGAATATCATTCAGTTTGTCAAGCAAGACTATAAGAAAAACCTACTTCTGAGAGCCGTATCAAAAGACCAACCAATAGAAAAAACTTTAAAAGAATTTAATATGAAATACTTGTTTTTTGCTCTTTGTCAGTCGTGGAATGCGTTTCCGTCATCAACTATTAAATCGTCTTGGAAAAAGTTATGGCCAGATATAGTCACCACTCCTAGCAACGTTCCACAAATCAGTGTTACTTCGGAAGTTATAGAACAAGTCGCTACTGAAACACAGATAAGTCCGGAAGATTTGGAAATCTGGTGCCGTGGAATGGATAAAGAGGAAAATGTTTTTCATGAAATGTCTGACGAAGAGATTATAAAAGAGGTTTCTAATTATACAACAAACAATCAGGAAAATAACGACGACGTGATTGCAACTGCTCCACAAGTCACAGCACAAGACGCAATTAACGCCTTTGTGCTAGGTTTACAATGGGCTGAGGAGAATGGTAAATCCTACAACAAACTTTTACTTTTGAGAAGACGCTCCTTTCACAAGGCGTTGTATAAATAATCCAAACAGATTTTGTTACATTTGTGGTGAATATGCAGTGAAAAAGTTTGGAAAACCAATAACAGATTCAGTGAGGAAGACATTTGATTACTTTAATATAGAGATGAAGGCTCTGGACAAACCGTGGGTTCCAAACATTGTGTGCAAGTTGTGTAGTGAATATTTAAGACAGTGGGCAAACGGTAAACGTAATCATGATGATTGGGACAGAACCGAAAAATCGCATTGATGATTGTTATTTTTGTGTTGTAGAAATACAGGGTATGAACAAAAGAAAAATGACATCTTGATTTACTGTCTGCTAAAACACCTCTGCTGTGTTCAGATGACGTACCATCTCCTATGAGTCAAGATCTTTCAGATCTATCAGATTTGTCGGACACAGAGATGGTGGAAGTATTTTCTGATGAACGTGTCAATCATTCTGAAGTGCGCCTTCACTTTTTTCTCAAGATGCTTTAACTGATTTGATTAGAGACCTTGACCTTTCGAAAGAGCGATGTGAGCTACTCGCATCTAAACTCGAAGAAAGAAATTTGTTATCTCAAGATACGAAAGTAACATTTTATCGTGATCGCGAAAAAGAATTATACAGGGTGTTTCAGTTTATTGTTGCATAACTTTAAGATTCGATAGAACTTTTGAAATTAAATTATAAAGTCTATATAAAGATGGGTCGAAAAATGCGTGGCTTCCGAAATACAGGGTGTTTAAATTTACTTTCTAAAATAGTTTTTTTTAAATATTTCGAACAGTATTTGATGTATAACAGTGTAAATTGGTATACAAGGGTTTTTTGGTACGACAAAACGAACCATGGGCATAGTTTTACTGTAGCCGTTAGAGTGCGCTCTCTACTGTACCTGTAGTGTATTAAAATGACCGAACATTTTTTCTTAGTGCAATTTTTTGCTTTTTGAATAAAAAAACTGATTCTTCAACATAAAAAAGCTCTCTTGTAAATTTTCGTTATAGTTAGCCGTTTTTGAGATATTTCGATTTTTAAGGTTTATGATAAAATAACGTTAAAAAGTGAGTATCTCGATAATTTTTAGAAGTAGGCTGTGCCTGCAATTATTTTTGAAATTGAAAGCAGAATAAGGTTAAACGTCAAATAGTTGGCAGTTAGTTTTGTTGTCTGTTGAAACCTGAAACGTTTTTTTGCAATTGTGAATGCACGAAATTTAGTTCCTTTTACTTTTTTTTTTGTAAGTTTTATAAAAATGCCATTTTTATTCTCCAATCAAGAGTTAGCGGATATTCATTTTGTGTATGGCTTTGTAAATGGAAACGCAGCAGAAGCAGCCAGAGAATACGCACGAAGATTTCCAAACAGACGACATCCAACTCGCTCAGTATTTGTAAGAGTGCATCGCCAAATAATTGAAAATGGTTTTGGAAATCTCCAAAGGGGTCAAAACATAAATGTTCGTCAGTGCAGATTTACCCGTATGATTCTGCGTGAGTTTGATAGAGATCCGACCACAAGTGTTAGGAGAGTTTCTGGTGCCTTGGGAATTTCAGCAAGCCATGTTCATCGTGTTCTTAGAAATGACCATAGACGTCCTTACCATTTGCAACCTGTGCAAGGACTACAGCCAGGGGACGGAGAACGAAGAATCACATTTTGTCAGTGGATTCTTGATAGAACTGATAATAATAGGGAGTTTTTAAGTAACGTTTTATGGACCGATGAGTCATGCTTCACTAGACGTGGAGTGGTAAATGTTCATAATCAACATATTTGGTCGCATGAAAATCCGCATGCAGTTCGGGAAAGAAATTTTCAGCATGAATTTAGTGTGAACGTGTGGATTGGTATCTACCGTAATCGACTATTTGGACCCTACCTTTTGCCTGCAAGGTTAAATGGTGCGACCTTCTTGGAATGGAATGGAATGCTGAACATGCAAATATCTAGGATGTTGTTATGTTAGATTTAAGAATATTGGCCTGGTTCCAGCTTGATGGTTGTCCAGCTCATTATTCGAGAATAGTTAGAAACTTGCTGGACGAAAATTATCCATAAAGATGGATTGGCCGTGGAGGACCAGTCGTCTGGCCTCCACGATCCCCTGACCTAAATCCATTAGATTTCTTTGTGTGGGGATTTCTAAAAGAAACAGTGTACCTGACTCCCGTAACCACAAGAGATATGCTAATAGTCAGAATCAGGAATGCATGTGATGAAATAAGGCCTATTTTGAATAATGTTCATGTTCGATCATTCGTAGATGTGAATTGTGTATTGAACAATTGGGTTTACATTTCGAGCAACTACTTTAGATTTTGTATGTTTATCCTAACTATCCAATAGCATTTTAGTTGTAAATAATTAATTTAATTTGTTAAAAATAATATTGGAAAATTAAACAAATTAATATTCTTTTTTTTTGTGTTTATTTGGAGTTAGGAATTATTTCTGTGTTTAAAAACACAATCTAAACGATCATCTTAATTACTTGTAATGCCCAAATCGAAAATGTAAAAAAAAATATTTTTCCATAAATAATTAAAAATGCATCGAACCCTAAAAATCGAAATATCTCAAAAACGGCTACCTATAACGAAAACTCACAGGAAAGCTTTTTTATGCAGAAAAGTGCGAAGAATCAGTTTTTATATTTAAAAAGCAAAAAATTGCACTAAGAAAAAATTTTCGGTCATTTTAATACACTACAGGTACAGTAGAGAGCGCCCTCTAGCGGCTACAGTAAAACTATGTACATGGTTCGTTTTGTCGTACCAAAAAACCCTTGTATACCAATTTTCACTGTTATACATCAAATGTTGTTCGAAATATTTAAAAAAACCTATTTTAAAAAGTAAATTTAAACACCCTGTATTTCAGAAGCCACGCATTTTTCGACCCATGTTTATATGACTTTATGCATTAATTTTAAAAGTTCTATCGACTCTTAAAGTTATGCAACAATGAACTGAAACACCCTGTATAGTTTATTGTAATAACATTGGTGGCCTTCTAATGAAACTGGGGCTGTCAAGGTACAAAGCTGAAGAACGGAGATTGTTTATGGACAGCTGAAAGCGAAGTTTAAAGTATGTTCTACTAGATATTGGTAATAAACATGTAGCTGTGCCTATTGCTCATTCAACGAAATGAAAAGAAGAGTATCAAAACGAGGATCTTGTTTTAAAAAAACTCAAGTCCTCGGAGCATCAATGGGTTATATGTGTGGATTTAAAAATGGTCAACTTTCTATTAGGTCAACGAAGTGGGTACACCAAATTTTGATGCTTCATGTTTATGGGACAGTAGAGCAAAAAAGACCACTGGATCAAGAAAGATTGGCCTTTAAGAAATAACATGATGGCTGGCAAAAAAAATATTATAAACCCGCTTTTAGTTTCTAGAGATCAGATTATCTTGCCTCCGATGCACATCAAATTGGGACTTATGAAGCAATATGTTAAGGCATTAGATAAAACTGGTCCAAGTTTTGTATGTATTTCAAGGAAGTTTCCCGGTTTAAGTAATAAAAAACTAAAAACTGGTATTTTTGATGGCCCACAGATAAGACTTTTATTGAAAGACAACGATTTCATACATTCAATGAATGTTTTAGAAGCAGCGGCTTGGAAATCTTTTGTTGCTGTTGTAAAATTTTGTTTAGGAAATCAGACGGCCGAAAATTACAAATAGTTCAAAACCTCTTAATTAGCTTTAAAAATCTTGGACGTAATATGAGCATAAAGGTCTATCTGGACAATCATTTAGATAAGTTTCCTGAAAATCTTGGAGCATATAGCGAAGAACAAGGAGAACGTTTCTATCAAGATTTAAAGGTGATGGAAGATAGATACCAAGGTCGCTGGGATGAGCATATGATAACAGATTACTGTTGGAGTATAACACGACAATGTCCTGAAGACATCCATCGGAGAAAATCTAAACAGAGAAGCTTCTAACCTGTAAAACAATGTGTAATTAAATGTAATCAAATGTTTTGAACGATATGTTCTTTGGTTTTCTAATAAATTAATTAAATGATTAATTTATTTACCATTGCGAAATCTCGAAAACTACATGTAGGATTAAAAAAGTAAGTATCAAGTTTTCATCAGGGTACCGAATGTACTTGAAATCAGTTTTACTTTTAGCGGCACCAAAATTATTGTAAACCTATCGTATATTTTATTCTGTAAACTCACCAAGGGTTGGTACGGGACTGCCTGTACTGGAACTATTCGCTTCTGTAGCTTTTCTGGCTCTCCTGTAACAACAGAGAAAACATCTTTAAATATTATTAAAATACCATATACAGTGAAAGCTCCCATAAGCGGACACTCACGGTTCTGTAACTTTTGTCCGCTTATGGGAGGTGTCCGTTTACAAGAGAGTATGTAAGTATAGAGTATAAATAACGGGGTATATAATCATGAGGAAATGAGGTATTATAATCATGAGAAAAATGAAACAGAAACTCGCCACATTTTTAAAGTATGTATTTATGCTATATATCTATATAATATATGTACATATACGCATACAAAAACATAAATGCTTCAATACATGGTACGAGAATTTAAAAAAAACATTATTCTTTAGCTTGTTGAAAAAAGTTTAAAATGTTTGTCTGACGAAATTTCACCATCTTTTGCTGAAGGACACAATTTTCGTAATAACTTTCTAAATTTTTCAAATGTTGAAATGCAGTGAAATCATCTTTAGCAAATTTTTTCAATATAGAAATATGATTTAGAGCTTCCCCATATGAATTTATCGTTTTTGAACCGCTTAGTGAGTCCACCAGTTCCACTTCTTCTTCTGAGTCGTGTGGACTACCATATTCAAGTTGGCCTGGGCTTTGTACATCCAAATTCGAAAAGTTGCCAATGGCATTTTCTTCTGTTGTTATGTTATTGTCTATGGCCAGGAAATCATCTACTTTCTGGGGATCTGCTACTCCTAAATGTTTGGCATGTCGCAGTAACTGAGCAAGTGTCGCTAAGGGCAGATCGTCTTCAGCATCGCAATAATTTTGCTCAGCAAATTCTGAGCTACATTCACTTTTTCTGAATCCAGCTTTGCCAAAACAGTTTTTAATTGTAGAGGAATTTACTTTATTCCATGCTGTTTTTATAAAATACAAAGCTTCTAACACATTGATAGACTTTGTAAGCTCAGATAAGCTTTGACCATCGTCAATTTTTGTTAAAATATGTTTTAAAATCAAGTGCCGATAATAAAATTTAAAGTTCTGTATGACACCTTGATCCATGGGCTGACAAACAGAAGTTGTGTTTGGCGGTAAAAATATAATTTTCACATTTTTCATTTTCATATCACGAGGATGAGAGCATGCATTGTCTAAAAATAAAAGAACTTGCCTTTTTTGGATTCTCATTTTCCGGTCGAATTCGACTAACCACTCAGACATGATTTCTCGGGTCATCCATGCCTTTTTGTTGGATTTCCAAGTCGCTGGTAGATCCTTAATAGCAACGTTTTTTAAAGCACGGGGACGAGCCGCTTTCCCGATCACAATCAAATCGCATTTTTCACCGGCCATATTTGCACAGAATAAAATGGTTAGTCTATCTTTAGACAACTTTCCACCCACACATGTTTCTCCTTTAAAGGACAGAGTTTTGTCGGGCAATGCGCGAAAAAAAAGTCCACTCTCATCTGCGTTGTACACATCTTCTGGTTTGTAGCCAAGCAACATGGACGGAAGTTTCTCCAAAAATTGTGACACATCAACTTGATCTACTGCAGCAGCTTCGCCAGATATGCATTTGAAACTCACACTATGTCTCTTGCGCCACTTTTGCAGCCACCCGTCGGACGCACTGAAATTATTATAGCCCAAAGTAGTGGCGATTTCTTTAGCTTTCATTTTCACTAACGGCCCTGAGATTGGAATGTTCTGACTTCTAGCTTTCACAAACCACTCAAAACATGTTTTGTCTATAGCAAAACCTTCCTTTTTTAAAAAATCCTTCTTTTGATTTATATTAGTTCCTGATTGCCATTTACTCCTGATATCTTCCTTATTTTTGGCAATTTCAGCTGCTTGCGTTTTCCCAATATTAAACCTCTTTGCCAAATGACGAACTGAAACACTTTCTCTGTCTAATACGTTAACAACTTCCATCTTTTCCTTTAACGAGAGCATCCTTTTTTTTGGTGCCATTTTACAGTTACAATAATAAAATACGTAACTCAATCAACTACGAATTTGCCTGAACTGAAGACAAGCCACAAGATTACATACAGGCTACCCAACGAAATGCGTAAATGGGGAATCACCTAATATAAATCGGGGAATTACCGAATTTTATGTATGTAGATATGTGCATTGCAATAAGCGGAACTAAAAAATCGTCCGGGTATTAGAGTTTCGCGTCCGCTTATGGGAGATTTTTTGATCACATACAGGAAAATCTAGTGTCCGCGTCCGTTTATAAGTGCGTCCGTTTATCGGGATGCATTTAACATTGAAAATTGATGGCTGAAATTCGGTTCCAGGAACTTTGTCCGGTTAAAAGAGATGTCCGCTTATAGGAGCTGTCCGCAAGGAGAGCTTTCACTGTATATTGAATTTTCCCAGCTTTGGAATATAAATACGAGGGCCACGCTATATATTTTGAGATACGGGAAAACTAAAAACTAGTTTATTTATGTTCAAAGCATTCTCCTCCAGCATCAATACACTTCTGTAGTCTTACATTCCACAAATGAAATGCTTCTAACCAGTCAGTTTTTGGAACGCCTTCAACAAAATGATTAACTGCTTGACCGATTTCCTCTTCGGACGAAAATTTTCGACCACGCAAATGTTTGTTCGAATTGTTGAAGAACCAGAAGCCACACATTGCCAAATCTGGTGAATAAGGCGGATGTTCCAGCATTATGATGTAGTGCTGGCGTAAAAAGTCTACAGTTATTGGGCAGTGTGGCTAGAGGCAGGATTGCACGAAACAACACTTTTTTAAATGAAGATGGCCTTGCAAACTGGTGTGTACTGTTGCGGATCCTACCCCAAGAGTTGCCTCTATAGTCGATGTGTGGAGCGAGAATCTTCTTCAATTAGCCGCTGATTTTTTTCTGGAGTCACACTAGAACATGGCCTACCACTACGTTCTTCATCATTCAATGAAACACACCCTCTTTCAAATTCGGCATACCAGCGAAACACACTTGCCCGGGATGGAGCTTCATTACCAAATGCCTGTTGTAACCGTTCGATACATTGATGTTTAGTTAAACCGACTTTAAAGTCATAGTAAATCATAGAGCGATAAATCTTCATGTTTCGTCTTAATTTGTTTATGCCACGTGCTCTGTAAGATGCTTGCAAATGAACTACGGAATGCGGCGACTTACTAATAAAGGACTGCTCTTTCTAATAGTGCACTCTTGCCGGTTTTAACTAATATACAGCAGACGCTCGATAACGTAAACACGGGATAATGAAAACTTGCGCTAATGTAAACACAAACTTCGTTCTATGGGATCAAACGGAACGCGCGATAACGTAAACAATGTGTACGCTCGATAACGTAAACAACTCTCGGCGCACGGAAACAGCGCGACGGTAAAATGCTGAAGCCTCGATGATTTATGTCGGGCGTCTCCGATTTATGATGTAGAGTGTAGGGGATTCACCTCTGCGATAAAATACGACAAACTCGGTCAGTCGTATGATCGTTTAGGATACGTTTATACGTACGTATGTATTTCATTTTTGAACTTAAGTGAATACATTGCACGCGTTAATAATTTTACGACTATGGCATCCACATCCTACAAAAGAAAGTGTTTAAAGTTGAGTGAGAAAGTGAAAATCATAGACGAAGTTGCACTAGGTGCGGGAGTGACACCGTTAGCAAACAAATATGGAGTATCGAAAGCAACAATCTGTAAAATTAAGCGTATGAAAACTCAAATTTTACAAAGAACGTGCAATACATTTGGAGGTCCGGGAAAAAGAAAAACTTAAAAAAATGCGAAGGCACCGAAAATGGAAAATTCCCTGTATAAGTGGTTTTTAAAATAACGGGAAAATTATGTCCCAGTTAGTGGCGAAGTACTTAAACAGAGAGCGAGACTGTTAAATGAAAAACTGAAAATTTCGTAGCTAGTGATGGCCGGCTACAACGATCCAAACAAGATATGGAATTCGACTGCTGCCCATATCTGGTGAAAAATTATCAGCTCAACCACAATTAGTGCAATCATTCAAAGACAAATTGATGAAAATAATTACCGAGCTAGATTTAAGAATGGAAAAAATTTACAACGCAGATACAAGTGGCCTTTATTGGAAAATGTTACCAGAGAAAACCTATGCTGAATCATTTGAAAAATCTGCCCCGGGAAGAAACCCGGAGAAACAACGAATAACGTTTCTAGCCTGCACTAATGCTAATGGTTCACACAAAATAAAGCCACTGGTAATTGGGAAAGCAAAAAATCCGCGCTCATTTAAAAATGTTGATATCCCTGTTGATTATGACTGTTCAAAAACCGCTTGGATGACTAGCAGTATATTCCTGAAATGGTTCCACAGGTGCTTTGTCCCTCAGGTATGACAATCAATTATCACAAATGCTCTATTCATAATTTGAAGATGTGTTTTCAATTTGTAGGTAAAAGGTTTCCTAAAACAACAGAAGCTTCCAATAAAAGCGTTGCTACTATTGGATAATGCACCAAGTCATCCTCCCGAGCAACAACTGAGGAGCAGGGATGGGTCAATTTTCGTCATGTACATGCCGCCCAACGTAACACCGTTAATTCAACCGATGGACCAGAATATAATACGACTCACCAAACTATACTATAGGAAGTTTCTACTTTCGTCTGTCTTCTCAAAGAATCCTGAAAACTTATCTGAGGCTTTAAAAAAGTAACATTACGAGAAGCTGTTTTAGATTTGAGGCCTGGAATGAACTTAACTAGCAAACTATTCAGAAATGTTGGAACAATCTCTTTTGTACCAATAATGAAGATGATGAAGAAGACGAAGTTCCTGTTTAACAGTTTAGCTGCTCATATATCTCTCTGCTTTTGAAGTTCAGTTCAGTCACGTTGGTTTTTGGCATAGTATATTGCTAAACTCTAAAGTAGTTTTTAACGTGAAAGCAAAACTCGGCTTCTGGAATTTCCACGGATGCTATTTTTGAAAAAATAGCATAAACAATAATAAAATCTAGAATAACAGCAGATGAAATACAAATGCCGTGCCATGTATGTGTGGTTGCTACA